TTAGGAGCGTGATCAAAATGTGTTTTGGAGGGTTGGAGTAGATTTAGGCTTGAATTGGCGAAATTGGAATTTTGGCATTTTCCGTTTGATAGGTGAGATTTTGATATAGGGGTCGGAACGGAATTCCGGAAGTTGGAGTAGGTCCGTCATGTCATTTGTGACGTGCGTGCAAAAATTCAGGTCATTCAGACGAGGTTTGATAGATTTTTTGATCGAAAGCGGAATTCGGAAGTTTTTGGAACCTTAGGCTTGGATCCGATGTTAATTGGTTGATTCAATGTTGTTTGAGGTATTTTAAAGATTGGTATAAGTTTGGATTGTGGTTAATGACTTGTTCATACTTTTGGTTGAGTTCCCGGAGGCCTCGGGGTAATTTCAGATGGTTGACGGGAAGTTTGGAATTGGGAATTTGCAGCTGAAGCTACTAAAGTTCTGTCGTAACTGCACCTGCACTTGGGGACCGCAGGTGTGGGCTTGCAGAAGCGCCCAGAGGATTGCATATGCGTAAATAGGCATAGGGAGCTGAAACCGCAAATGCGCGTGTTCGAGCGCACCTGCGATAGAGTAGGTGCGGGATTTTAATCGCATGTGCGGTTTTGAGAACTTAAGTGATTTGTGCAGATGCGCACCTGGGACCGCAGGTGCGAGATTTTGTACTATAAAAGCGGTTTAGCTGGGGCAGAACATATATATTTGGCCCTTCGCAATTTTGAGTGGTTTTTTCACCATATTTCATTCTGGAGAAAGCTTTGGAGAGCAAATTGAAGAGGGGATTCAAGAGGGTTTCGTGGAGGTAAGATTTTTGGACCCTAAACTTGTTTCTATGATGGTTTTTGACTGATTAAGCTTGAAATCTATGGAAATTAGTAGCAAAATTGGGGGTTTTGAGCTTGGAAATTGGAGACATAAAATTAGGGATTTGAGGGGCTATTTGTGGTCGGATTTTGGTATGAATAAACTCGTGGGAGAATAAGGATTCCATTGATGTAAATTTTGTTGGATTTCGAGACGTGGTCCCGAGGGCCGGGTTCGGAAAATTTCGAAATTTGTGTTGTAATTTGATTATTTCGCATGGGCTTTGTTCCCTGAGTATATATTGATGTTATGGTTTTGATTTTTGTTAGATTCGGGGCATTTGGAGGCTGAATCGAGAGGAAAGGGCATTATGGGATAGAGTTTGGCTTGGCTTGAGGTAAGTAATGCTTTCAAACTTGGTTTTGAGGGTTCGAAACCCAGAACTGTGTATTCTATGATTACTATTAAGGCGACGCAATACCAAGTGATGGGCGTGTGGGCGTGTACCATGAGTAAGGCAGCCTGGGTCATTCCATGGCACTGCCTAGTGACTCTTTTATGTTGATATCTGTGTTGTAATTATGTGATTTAGTTAATAAGCTGCAAATCATGCTAATTATCATGATAAGTCTTCACGCCAACATTGTTGAGACCTGAAAGGTCATTTCTTGCTGTCATGTCATTAGCTTCATTTATAATCTATACTCAGTCTTGTTCATGCATATTATATCATGCCTCAGTCTCAATTATTGCTACATAACATATCATATCATTGTTCGGGCTTGTATCATGACATTTTAGCCCGTGTGTGTGAGACTAGAGAGTATTGACTGAGTGAGGCCGAAGGCCTGATATTGATTGACAGTATGAGATCGGGTTGCACGCCACAACGAGATATTGATCATGCCTTCACTAGCATTGATATAGTTCTTGGGCTCCGAGAAGCCCCTCCCGAGTCTTTACACCCCCAGCGAGCGCAGTTGATGATATTAAGGGATGGATCTTCCCTGGATATGGATCTTGTCCGAAGTATTGGTATGGAGATGGATCTTCTCCATGAGGCTGGATTAGCCTGTTCTTTGGTACTGAGACTATAGTCTGTGATGTATGTATATATATATATATATATATATATATATTCCGGGATGGATCTTCCCTGGGCCTTGTGAGCCATATATGGTACCGAGTGGTTAAGATGTTGTCATTATTATTACCAGGAAATGGATCTTCTCCGTAGGCTATTGGCCTTCCTCAGTACTGAGTGACTGCTGTCAGAGATGTATATATATACGGTATGGATCTTCCCTAGGCCGTACGAGCCATATACCGTACTAAGTGGATGAGCATCGAGTTGTTGGGCACATGAGGTACTTGGTATAATGTATTTCATACAGTATGTGCATTGGCATGTAGATGTAACAGAGTTATACTCCTTTATCATGTTCATACTTGCTCTATTTCCTTGTTATGAGATGTTTGATTAACTGAAAGCATGGCTACTTTCCTGTACAATATTCATGTTTATTTTTGAAGAGGTTGAGATCGTCACTACTTCTCAGTCTATAGTTTGGGCTTGTTACTTACTGAGTTGATATACTCACGTTACCCCCTGAACCTTGTATGCAGATCCAGGTATCTATGGTCCCAGTAGCAGCCGGTGATCGATTGTCGCAGGCTGTGGAGTTTCTGAGGTATCTGTATGGAGTTCGTAGGCCTTGGCTCTCCTTATCACTTCCAGTTGTATTTTCTGTTGGTTCTTAGACACTTTGATAGACTATGTATTTACCTTAGACGCTCATGATCTCAGTGACACCATGGTTTTGGGACGAATGTATTGTAATATAAATCTTTATCTTATGTCTTAAACGATTTGTTTTAAAAATGATGAAAGTTTTCCGCAAATGATTTTTAATAATTACATTGTGATATTGGATTGCGTTGGTTTGAGGCTGGCCTAGTTCCATGATAGGCGCCATCATGACGGGTTGTGTTTTGGGTCGTGACACCTCTGTCATGGTCCAACGAGGGACATGACCGGTGCTAAGTGAGTCTAAGACTACTAAGCAAGCCTACCTCATTTTTCCCATATAAAAAAAAATCCGGCTGAGTCTCCTCTGTACCGTGAACAAACCAAAGCTTTAAGCTTGTTAGTTTTCAATCAACATGTGTCCAATGCACCATAACCCTAGTAATTTAACATGCTAAGTTTAGGAAATATCAACAATCTCAAGCCACAAGCTCCCATCACAACTATATAATTTTTTCAAGCTAGGCTACCACTAACACAAGCCAAAATACAATCCCAAGACTGACTTAAGGAGCAAAACTCTAGATTTTAACAAAACAATATACTAAAGTAGTCTAACAAAATGATAGCCTACGCGAAAAAAGTGCGGGGCTTACCGGATCCATCATTCGCTCTGTCTATCGCACTTCCTGAGTCAAAGTGTCAGCCTCACCTAGATTATCTGTGGGAGAGAAAAATGAAACAAGAAACACAGTCAGTCACACCGACTGAGTGAGTAACAATATCAACCACAAAATTTATTTGGGACAAGTATAGATAAAATATCATGCATTTCATAAGGTTTTCAACAATATGCTATTTAAACCAATATAACAGTTTGTGGATGAAAACAATGAATTAAGCAAGTAAAATCGTCAAGATTCAATAGGTATCTGCATCATATCCTTTTTGATTTATAATGGTAACCAGAGTCGATATACTTTCTGACACCATGGGTCTACCATGACCGTCTGACTACCCCGTCAGTTAGGTTCCCTTCTAGAGGGTATGAGTGTGATATATACAGGTCTATCATACAAGGTGCACCAGGTCTAACGATACCCATGTTAGATAACGACGATCCAGACATGTTGATTCCCAAGGTCCATTACTTTATAACACAATGAGTTTTCATACTTCTTTCTGACAAAAATATTGGGTTCCAAATATATGAAAATCGTGAATAAATACAATTTCAAAGCATGTCGTGATAAATAAAACTCAGGTATTAAAGCATTATTGTGCATATATCAGTATATATTGAATTATACTATTACTTGTCCATATGCAAGTAAATAAACTTTTGTCAAAATATTTTTGATGTAAGAAACTAGTTTCAAATATGCTATAGTTGAAAATCAACTATGGAAGAGTCATCACTCACAGTACTCTTGCCGGTACTCTTGCCGAATAGCTCCAAGTAGCTTCCAATCTTTGCATCGTCAAATATCAATTATCTAAAAATACATTATAACATTTGAATATTAATTACTCTTAAATTCATGAAATCAAAGTATTCCTAGCAATATTACACTTCTCAAACCCGTTACAATTCTACCACCCAACCTAAAACTAGAATAGAGCTAACAAAAGTTGGCATTTTATTATAAAAGAAAGTTTTTTGTTCAATTTCAATTGGTATTAATTTAATCATATCCTTCACAGACTTTCTCGTATACATATTATTTCGAGAGGAAGAAAGTATTTCGATTAATTCAAGTTTGATGCCAAAAATCATCCTTTGCCCCAAATTCAAACCTTTCTATTAAATTCCAGATTAAATCTTCAATCTTGGCTATTTGTTACTAATTACTCATAAAAAGAACGGATTCCTTGGTGATTAGGCATATCAGAAACTTACTTGCACAAATCAAAAAGGGAGAAAAGTAATTGAGTCTTCTTCCACACTATTTGTATTCAAAGTTTTAAAGGTAAAATCTTCTACTTCTCCTTGCTTCCTTTCCTCTTTTTTATCGTATCTTCCTTGTTTCCCCTTTTTCTTTCTTCTTCTTCTTCTTCTTCTTCTTCTTCTTCTTCTTCTTCTTTTCTTTCTGTCTTTTTTTCTTAGTAGATTGCTGCTGGGCAGCTTCTGTTGAAACCAGCAACGCTGGTTTATACTCTCTTTTGAACAATCGACTTTTTATCTTTTGTCTCTTGACCGCCTCTTTTTGGTGAAGGGTCTGGGGAGGGTAGTATGCACGCAAACCTTACCCCTATCCCGATGGAATAGAGAGGTTGTTTCTGATAGACGATCCTCGGTTCAAGAAGACGAAAAAGAAAAAAACAAAAATAATATATCAGTACCATCAACAGAAAGACTCAAGCTGATAGATAAAAATTATTTCCAGTACAAAACAAAATTAAAATAATGGTCCTAAACATATACAAGCTTCACAAGACAAAACCAATATATTGTACATTATAACCCTTTTCGTCCTATCAAGCAAAAACAACCCTGAAACTGATTTTCTGTAGCTAATTCAGATGTGTCAATTGCTTCCAACATCATAACCACCTCATGCATCTCTGGTCTCCTTTTAGGGTTTGCATCCCAACATTTCTTCATTATATCAGCCAAAACACTTGGACAAGAGTTTGGTATTTCAGGCCTTCGACCTTTGTAAATATCAGGAGAAGTTTTAGAAAGGGGAATTTGTTCAGGATATGGCATTGAACAACTGTATATTTCCCACAAACAAATTCCAAAACTATAAACATCACATTTATGATCATATGGCAAACAAGCAAGAACCTCAGGAGCCATATATCCCATTGTGCCATTTTGGCCTGTCATATCAATAGGACAAGAAGCCACTACTCTAGAAACTCCAAAGTCTATTATTTTCACTCTTCCTTCATTGTCAAGAAGTAAATTCTCAGTCTTCACATCTCTATGAACAATTTTTTGTGAGTGAAGATAACTCAACCCTTTTGCAACATCTAACGCTAGTTTAATTACAGTATGTAACGGTAACTTCTTGATGTGGTTTTTAATGAGGTAGGATTTGAGTGTGCCTCTAGGAAAAAATTCTACCACAATGCAATATCCATCTTTCGTAGGACGACGACGATGTTGGCTATTTTCAGATTTGAGTTTAATTTCAGGCACTTTGTTTTTCGAAGCTCCGATTAACTTAGCAATATTTGGGTGACTTAGGTTGTACCATATAGAAACTTCTTGTGTAAAAGCCTTTGTTACTATAGCTCTTCTATCTTCATCTCTCAAATCAAGTATTTTAACTGCGACTTCTTTTCCATTGTAACCTCCTTTGTAAACTGATCCATATGCCCCTTGACCAATAAGATTCTTGACCTTAATTCTTTGGCAGTCCAATTCCCATTCTTCTTTCTTGATTACTTGTACTTTTGGTTCTTCACTTTCACAGCACTTGTGATTGTTAAATACTCGATCTAAATGTCTTTCAAGCTGCTCGTCCATTCTTCTCAAATCAATCTCTGCTCTAATTCTTGTTTCTGCCATCTTTGAACACAAAATGGTATAACCAAATAATTGTTTGGTTGAAGAACAGAAAGAAGAAAACCTTTCTAGGGTTTTTATGTTATTTGGAGTTATAATAATATGAAACATATTTTGACTAGAAATAGAAAATCCTAATTAAACATGAATCAAATAACTTGGAGATATCAAATCCTAAAGAGTTTTGGTTTCCTACTACAACTTTGAATTAGTTTTTCAAAACGTAATTTATATATGGAATTAGAACAAAACCTAATTTAACAACACGGACAAGAAGGTTGTTGGAATTTAAACTCATAACACTATTTACTTATGATCTTTTATCATTAAACTATTTCCTAATTGGAAACTAGCGGTAGTAATTATTAGTAGGATCCAAGTTGATAGACACACCCCAATTCGACCATGGAAATATCCGCCAATAATATTATTGACTAGATTCAGCAAAATTTTGAACAAAGATGAAATCTTCCACTAATGAAGGAATGGATTTTTATATATTTTCCATTTTCGATTAAACATATTATATCGTGATAATGTTGTTTATCCTAAAATCGGATAACAATTGAATTAATACGCGGTTTTAAGGATACGTGATATAACTTGGTACAAATTAAGAAGAATAAATTAATATTAAAATTGACGATAAAAGAATAAATGAAAACCATACAGATTGAATAGCCTTGACTCTCGAGTTCAGTCACCCTTGAAACTGACTTATGAACAGAGCAACAAGATAATAAAAGCTAGAAAATGACAGTATATTGCTTTGTATTGTGTGAATATGATGTGTTTTACAAATGATCAGACCCCATTTATATAGTAGGGGAGTCCTACTCTTGATACAAGGTAAGAAATCTCATGATTAGCTAATTAATCGGCCTCTTCTTGATACGTGCCGGGATTTTTGCCGTGATCCTTGCCCGATTGCGGATATCTCGACTTTCTGTTATCTGGCTCGGTAAGCTTCCCTCGATCTTGCTCGATCTTTATCTTGCTTGGTCTTGATCTTGGCCGATCTCGATCTTGATCGATCTCTGGGTCACGAGCTCGGCGATCTAACTTTGCACCATGGTTCAATATAACACGAGGTTTATCCTCGACCTATCATATCCCAGTCTCGATTAGTCATACAAAGGGCAAGCCCGATTTTGACCGTATATAGATAGTCCCCACATTTCTCGGAGAGAAGATGATGAGAAATTATATGAACTTCCAAGCTCCGTCACGATGGGCCATAACACAAGTGACGAACGTCACTGACACACCCGATCATGACGTAAGTAACAACTCGAAATGTCACGTCGGTCCAGTTACCAAAGCATTAAATTCATGTTAGTTGCTGGTCGGCCACCATGAGTTATGAACCGTCACCGGCAAGCTATAAGTACTCCAGCCCTCCTCTATTCAAACTTTACGTTCAAAGCTTCTCCCATTCTTGCTTCTCTTCAAAAATCTCATTGCTTTGCAATTCTTGCACCCAAATTTCTTAAACTTTTTTAGCAAACCGCATACCATCCTAATTCCCTTTTCTTCTGCTCTACAATGGAAAAAACTTCTAAAACTGTACCGCAAAAGGAAGCCCCTCTTTATCACGGCCTGTTGACGACGGAGCTATGGCAGAATATCCCATTGAGGATTTCATTCCGGCAGGGTGCCCTACTATTGCCGATTTCAAGATTGAAAAAACCTCCTCAGTACTGGGTCGATGAGAACCGATCTCGAGGTACATATGCACAATTACTGATGATCTCCTTACCAAGGTTAAGGAGGATTGCAACTGGGGAAATAAGCATGTGGTGGTACCTTCGCCCGAGGAATCGATCACTACTCGCGTGGAGGGTTTTCTAAGTGTTTACACTTACCCCTTCATGTTGGGTCCCTTACACCCGATCATCGTCGCCTTCTGCAAGAGGTACAACGTGACCCTCGGCCAGATCCATCCTTTCTTCTGGAGAATAGTGATTCTCCTTTGATTTTTTGTAAGCAAAATCGAGGGATGTCACTTCACCCTCGATCACTTTATGCGCCTTTACAGTCCCCGACTCTATCGAGGAGGGCTGATCAAGCTTGATCGTTAGGCCAGCAAGGCCATGTTCTCGAGTATAAACGAGGCTCGGGACCAAGGTTGGATAGGCCGATTTGTTCAAATAAAGTCTTCGGACCTGATCCCCGCTGAAGACATGCCATTTCCTAAGAAATGGAACACAAATCGTAAGTAGTACTTCGCCTTGAATGTTTAATCTTGTTATTCGTCCCTTTATATTCTTCCTTATCGATGCTCTTGGTGTTCCAGCTGTGGCCCAGGTACGGGACGTAGTTCCCGAACTCAAGCAATGGGTCGAGGGCCTGGTATCACAAAGATCATACTCCGAGCGTTCTTGGATAGAGTTATAGAAGGGCCGATGGGAGGCCCGCAATCACAGTAAGTTTCTTTCGTAGAACTGTTATCGTTCGGGCTTCTTCTCGAGCTTACTCATCTTTTTGCCTTTGTAGGCCTCGAAAAGGGTGCTGCAGTGAGGCCCCCATCTGGTGACGAAGAAGTCCTTCCTCAACCACCTACTCTGAAGCAGGCCAAAGAGAAGAAAAGGTAAAGGGCTCCGAGTTCCCCAAACTCGAAAAAGAAGAAACCGATAAAAAGGTCACGCAAGCCCACGAGAAGCATCGACATTCTATCCTCGAACTCAGTCCATCGACTAAGGGATGAGTCCGAAGAGGAAGAAGGGGAAGATAAATCCAAGCTGGTGGCCCAAGTGTAGGCTGGTGTCACGATACAAAAAGTTCTCGAACCAGCAGGTGCTAAAGTTGAACCATCCCAACACGATGAGGTCAGTGAGAGAGCTCCGGCTGAAGCTTCCGAGTCAGAAGGAGTTGAGGCCATTATGCCCCAAGCTAGGGGGTCGAGAGAGATTCCGGGGGCGATGTGTTTCGAGTAGCAGAAAATGCCCCCGATAGACGAGCTTGGAGCGATTGACATCAGTGGGTCCTCTCAAATTTTGGATGACTTGATTCGTGAGGCTGGTATGTTAGAAAGTCATTCTTACGAGGGGCCTCAGGGGGAACCGATATCCATGGCTTCTTGAATGAATTCAATTCCGCAGCTTCGGGAGAGGTTACTGGGCTTGGTGACCTGCCGGTGCCAAGGAAGGTACCGTCATCGTGTGTCACTAGGTCTTCGTCAAGCTCGAGACTGGTGGATCAATTACCTGCCCCAAGTGTTAACCCCGACCGCAGGCAGTCGATAACTTTTTCTGTCTCGGAGGATGCCTAGGTTTTTTCTGCCCCCATGGGGGTTGCTAGCTACCTTAGATGCTTGGTGACCGAGGAAGACTATGACATGATGAATGCGATGGGAGTGCCTTGTCTATTTAATGAGGCCCGACACGCCCTGAATCGGGTAATTTCGAGGGTTACTCCATTATTTATTTTAACTTGAAGTTGTAAATAATCCTAACATCTTTGTTCGTGTTTGTAGGCTTCGATATTGCATCATGAGGCTTTCCTCCGATACCGGGAGGAATTAACTCACCATGAGGCCGATGTTCAAGACCTCATTGGGAAAAATGACACCTACAATCTTCTCAATGAGAAACTTCAGGCCGATTTAGTAACGGCTCGGGATGAGCATGCCGAGATGGCCGAGCAGGTATTTTGAGTGCTTCATGATAGCAAAGATGAATCGAATATAGTGACTAATGATCCGATCCTGCAGGTTTGGCAAAGGCTTGAACAGATCGGGGAGCTTCATGAACAGGAAAATACAATTCAAGTTGAGGCTGAGGAGCTCAAGAAAAATATGGACACCTTAGCCTCGAAAAGAGAAGCTGCCCAAGCACAACTAGAGTCGACTGAGATCCAGCTCCGAGCTGCAAGAGAGAAGGCCTCGGTGCAGGTCAAGAAAATCGAGGAGCTTCAGTCCCAATTGGACTTGGCTATTTCTGATAAGGAAAACTTGACCAATGAACTCGAGGTGGCCAAATTTTAGGTGGTCGTGGCCTACCAAAGCCGATGCTAAAGTGGCCACATTCAATGTCAACGTCGAGGCCATCCAGCCATAGGCCAAAATCATGGTGGATCATGCAAAGTGGAAAGATCGAAAGGAAAACCTCGAGGGAGTCCATGCACAGGGCGTCAATATATTGGTTGAACTCAAGAACGCCAAAGTAGAAGAAGCCAGGGCACGGAAGCTGGCCTTTACTGAAGAAGACTCAGAGAGTTTAAGTGAGTATGAAGGCGGGGAAGATCCCGAGGGCAAAGATGCTGCCTCTGATGAAGACCAGGCCACTTAGGCCTTTACATTTTTTTGTTGATTTCTTTTGCATCTTTTCGAGGCCTTTCCGGCCGTTGTAAATTTTTGAATTAAGCCATTTTGGCCTCTAGACTATTGGGTAAATATATACAAGGCTTTCTTTTCCCTTTTGGATTTTGAATTTTTCCATTGCTTTATTACTTGTATTCACAAAGGTCGAAATGTCTTAGCATAAAACAGCTTAGGTTGTGTAAGTTCAAACAACCTTGCCTTTACATTATTTTTATTTTTGAGTCATCTTAGAGGTTCGGTGTTACTGGGAACCTTCTTCCAAAGTAAGTAGCTCAGACTATAGTTTGTCGATGGTAGCCTTTAAAACCGGTTATGAAAATTTTGAAGGCCTATTTTTTGTTACGGTTCTCGGACATCCCCTAGCCGTGATATCGCGGTCGTAGCCTTTTAATTCGAGCGTAGCCCAGTGAGCCTACTTTCCCCAGTTATCCAGGCTTGCCTAAGATAACAATCCCCAAGTGGTTATGGCCGTGGCCTTTAAAATTCGGGGGTTGCCTATAATGTCTTATGCCCCTGATGATTAATAGTCGATTTATTAGAGATTGTTTTTCGGACGGCAGTCCTTGAGTGTGGGAGTGATCATCTAAACTCTAGTTATAATCGGCCCTTAAGCTCTTTTCCTTAAGAGATCGAAAGTATGAAATTGTAAAGTGGAAATTTTTTCTAAGACATAAGATAATTGCAAGGAAAGTACTCCTCTTTATTCTTGTGAAAAATAGTTACACATGCGTACATGTTTTATGCCAGGGCTCGAGCAACCTATGTGGGCATGGTTTGTTCGACCGTTTGGCCCTTACAACAAATCTTACCTATTGATACCCTTCTATTACGAAGTAATTTCCTCGCAAAAAGTTGACATCCAAGGGTAATGCCCCTCAGTATTCAAGGTTGATTGTAGAGGAACCTCGGATACTATTAGTGTTGTCTTCAACACCGATTCATGATCGACCTTTGATTCTAAGTTAGTACGATCCATTTTTGCCTCGTTTAAAACCTTGCTGAAAGACCTAAATAGGATAAAACCGGTACGAGGGAAAAAGAATGCAACGCTTGCTTTCAAACCTAAAGACTTTGTGCCGCTCCTTGTCGATCACTTGTAAGTGTTAGTCCAAAAATAGAAAGAATTAAAATGGGGTCGTACCTTAGTAGTAATATCGTTTAAGGTGAGTTACGTTCCAATTGTTCGGTAGTTGTTCTCTGTCTGTCATTCCGAGCTTATAGGATCCTTTCCTTGTGACCTCGAGAATCTGGTATGGCCCTTCCTAGTTCGGACCCAATTTCCCTGCATTCGGATTTTGGGTGCTTAGCGTGAACTTTCTTAGGACTAAGTCCCCGACAATAAGTATCAAAGTTGTGCCCTTCGATTGTAATACCTCTCGATCCGTTGCTTTTGGACGGCCAATTGATCAAGGGCAGCTTCACGTCTTTCATCTAATAGCTCTAGGCTCGTATTCATGGCCTCTTATTTGATTCCTTTATTGTATATCAGAATTTGATACTTAGCTCCAGGACTTCGATCGGTATTAGAGCTTCGGCGCCATAAACCAATAAGAACAGGGTAGCCCACGTACTGGACTTTGAAGTTGTGCGATATGCCCAAAGAACTCCGGGTAGGATCTCTCTCCATTTTCCCTTAGTGCCAGTTAACCTTTTCTTGAGGTTTTAAATTATGGTTTGTTGATTGATTTGGCTTGTTCGTTGACACTAGGGTGGTAAGGTGTCGATAAGATCCTTTTGATCTTACGGTCTTCGAGAAATTTGGTCACTTTACTGCCGATAAACTGTTTTCCGTTGTCACATACAATTTTGGATGGTACACCGAACTGACATATGATGTGGTCCCACTTCCTTCTCCCTGACCTTATCGTATACTTGTGCTTCAAACCACTTAGAAAAATAGTCAATAATAAATAAGATAAATTGAACTTTACCTGGTGTCGATCGAAGAGGGCTGACGATGTTTATCCCCCACTTTATGAATGGCCATGACGGTAAAACCGAATGCAACAGCTCCCTGGCTTGGTGAATCATCAGAGCATACCTTTGGCACTTGTCACATTTTCGTATGAACTCCTTCGCATCCTTTTCCATGTCGATCTAGTAATAACCGACTCTAATTACCTTTTGAACCAATGATTCGGGATCTGAGTGATTACCGCAAGTGCCCTCGTGAACTTCCCTCAGAACGTATTCGGTATCTCTCGGTCCCAGATATATTACTAGTGGTCCATCGAACATTCTTCTGAACAAGGTTCCATCTTCGGACAAGCTGAATTGGGCTACCTTTGTGCATATGGCCCTCGATTCCTTGGGGTTTGAAGGAAGTTTCTCGGTCTTTAAATAATCTATATTTTTATTTCTCCAATCCCAAGTTAAACTTGTTGAATTTATTTCTGCGTGACCTTCCTCTA